GTAAAATCCAGCATTTGCATGATGAGTTTTAGCTTGATAACATTTTCACACTTACTGTATATTCATTTGGGGTACGGTTTTTCCCTCCAAAGCCGACTCCATTGTATAATTCCATTATTCCAAATAGATTAGAGGAGCAAAGCAGTGGTATTTGTTTTCATTTTAATCCAACTTGAAGTTAATATTCCACAAATCATGGATTGTAGCTAACGCAAATGAAGTTAGATATTCTTTATTTAATGGGGAGATTTTCAGCACGCTTATCCCCTTGGGACCCTGTGGAGAAGAATCACACGACACACTTGAGTTTCCCCCAGAATGGACAGGGCGCAGGAAAGTCAGAGTATGGGCGAATTAATTTTGTCAGTGCCTAATTGCATTTATTGGCCATGCCTGGCACCTCCTAATCCTGGATTATGATGATGCATTAACAGCTGTGACTGGCTGTTTACAAGGCATTTATTAGCCGGTGTCAACATAATGAGACAAATTCCACCTATCACATTAATCACCCCACTGCCAGAACTGTGTCACTGCCAAGAGCAGAGCCAGATGACGCATAGGCCAAGGCTGCGCCGAAGCTGCTTCCCGTTTTCCCGCATTAGCCATTGTTATATGGCAATCAGATTACCTCCTCAGTAACTGTCAGCCGGGTGAGGTGGTGACGTGAAACTTGAAGTGAATAAAGAGCAATGAATTGGGGGAGGTTAAAGATAACGGGAGAAGAAATGTGGGATCAAATGCACGGTTGAGTGCGTCAAACCAGAAAAACAATTTCCACACATAATGCTTCTAATTGAAGTCAGGTCACTTAATTACAGTCTATCTACCCAGTATTGTTTACTGTGAACCCATCTCTTCTTTCTTTTTCTCTGTCAATCTGTCAATTTCCCCTCTGTCTACCTCTATTTCATTTTCATTTTCTCTCCTCTGCCACAAGAATACACAACAGCCAAAAAACAAAACACTGTCTGTGGAGAGTGAAATATTAGCAAATGTGAAATTGAGAAGATGGTTTCATGAATTATGTTTCATAATTGATTAAAGGCTGATTCAGTATGAAGCATCTTCACGGTTATATTAACATCAAATGAATATAAACAGCTTTGGTACAAAACAATAAGCATGTTACAATAGTTTTAATTACGCTCAATTGAGCTATAGTAAAAGGGTAACACGATATTTTCCGAAGGAACTAGTATTCTTTTGACACAAAGGGGTGCCGGGTGAGTGATACTTTATTTTGCCTGGGGTTGGAGCAGGAGCGACATTGATTTCTTTCCTTTTCAAGTGATCCCCAAAAGTGATGTGCAGCAATTAAACAAGAGTTTGCGAGACAGACCTGACAAAATCATTTGAGAAATGACATTGGAGAATGTCCCGCTGGCCTTGCTGTCATGGAAGCAAGTAGTATAGACATCGCATTTTGTACAGACGCACAGGAATCATCGAATGAGATCGCTGCTCGCCCTGTACACACTTTATCTGTGGGGTTGTCTGATTCCATTTGAAGAACAACGTCTGGTCTCGGACTTTGTGCCAGCATCATTCCTCCAGTTTTCGGGTCAGTCAGGATCAGCCGGACTTGACACATTAATATTGTCGGTGAGGAATGCTCTAGGTCTCCTGCTATTTCAAAGTATGGTTGTTACAAGAATGTGATTATGAAAATGTTCTTCTTCATGGTGATTTTTACCGAGCTTCAGAACATGAGCATTATGTGACTAAAATAAATATATAAATTGGCTTCAAACTATCAGCACCAGTGGATGAATGCTTGACATGCACTTACACAATCAAAACTGATGATCCAGTGGAACTCGCTCCATCTTGCATTTTATTACTGCTAAACAGTGGATTTATTAGCAACTATCATTTTTTTTTACACATGTAGATTGCTTTTACAACAAGTGGTGAGACTGGATTGTAAAATGTGTGCTCTCTGGCTCCCAAAATGAATGTGCTTTAGTGATAAGGACCGGATGAGAGGATGTGAGATACGGCACACTGCAGCGGCGCATCTCCCAGCGCAAGCTGTTTCACTGTGCAGTAGTCTGTGTTATATAATTCTGATGGGGTTCGCTGGCACCTTACAGTTCACCCCCCACCGCTAAAGTGTGAACACAGGGCCAGCTCTCTGGCTTTCCCTTGGACTGTCCTCTGACAAATGTGCAGAAACAACTTGACATACAGACATGCCTCATAAGGGCAGAGAAGTGGACTTGTGTTTGGCGCTTGGGAAATACATGTCATCCTTGTGATTAATGCGGAATCATGATACTGAGATAAGAGCGGTGGGTGGAGTGCACCAATGTCCGCCGGCCTCCAACACCCTCACAGCACCCATTTTCTCGGGGAACAGCTCCCTGCCATCTGTCAGTATTGGAAAGCCCTTGTGGCTTGCTACAGGTTTTTCCAAACCTATATACATGACTGCCTTTCCCTGTCAGAGACTCTGCTGTGCATGAACCTTCAGCCGTAACCAGCCACTGGGCTAGAAAACGGTGTCAGCCAAGCTAAAGCCTCATTGACACCATGAAAAATCTCTCTTAGTAGTGTTATTGACCCCTGGACATACGTAATCAGCTGGTGGGCTGTACATTGGCCAGAAAAGGAAACAGTGAAGTTAGGAAAGCACTACCCCCGGTAAAGCCACTTTAATGTAATTGGACGTTGTTTACCTAAGTGCTATTTAATCGCCGGACTCCTCACTGAATCTTTCATGAAACTCTGTGCCGCAAACAAACATACAACAGCATTGGCAATGTCTCCTTATTAGTTATTCGTGGCTTCATTTGCTTCATATCTCTGCTCACTCTTTTTTGTGCAACACTGAAAGCTATAGCAGAAAGGACATCCTCAGCTGAAACTTGAGAGTGTAGATGACTCCTGTATTATCAGGAATAGATGCTTCCTTTATAAAAAATGACTTCAATGAAGTCAAGAAAACTCGTAACAGAACGGAGAGGATGCCTCATCTTTCGACAAATAACAATATGTGTGTATGGAGGCTGTTGTTTTCATGCAATATCACACTTCTGGCTTCTGCATGCAAATTATATCAAAGGTTCAAGAGTCATTTCCTTTAACAGAAATGTGTCTCTCTCCCCTCTGGTTCCTTTTTTTTGCTGGCCTCTAGTCATAATAAACCTAGCCTTGGGCTCATAAATCAAGTGCATGTCTCCCTAACAGATACATGATGATTAAAACGATGTATGATTAAAAAGTCTTGTTCAGTTCATCTCTAGTGTACTCAATTAAATAAACCCCATCTTGTCCAAGACATAAACGACATGCATCAACAAATATTTCAGCCGGCAACAGGGAAAGAGGGCAAAGAAAAGAAAGTAATAGACTCCAGTTGAAACACTGAAATGGCTACTTGTGTGGCCTCAGGTTCATGGACCAGCTGTGACAGCGACCTCCAAGAGTCTTTGACTTTTACCAACAGCAGATTGGGTGGACAAGGGCGCTTCTAGAGCACCCTAAGCTCTGCTGTCTACCTAGTTATAGCTTTTGTTAAGTATTTTCACAGTGCAACAGAGCATTTCCTTCTTCCTAATTAATAGCATCTAGATCTCAACATATAGAGTGCATCTTAACTATCCTGATATTAAGAGCAGTATAATTATATAAATTATGAATGTGTCAATGGACTGACCCTTTTCTTGCAAGGTCCAATCTGATTGGCAGTTATTTTTGCAAAACAATATACGTATAAAATATCTAATAATGATAATATAATTTGTGATTCACACTGATATGTTGGATATGAAATGTAATAGCATATCAATTATCTGATATGTCGCATATGTCCAGAACATTTGATTAATCTATAAAGACTACTACACCTGGCAAGTTAACAGTAATCATCTCTTAAATGTGAAAGTGACAGTAAAAGAAGAGCATATTCTTTAAAACTCACAAAATAAATTTGAATCCAAATTCAATCATAATTGCTCTTGCTTTGGATAGCTATGCGAAAGACTACTATGGTTTAATTTGTATGTTGCATTCAGAGAAATACCTGTAAGCATACACACTCTAGCCCGTCTTAAATTAGTTTTCACATTACCTTACACAGCCCTGATTTAGATAAACAAGCAAAATCATTGTGAACCTGTGAGCAGCAGACATAGACCAAAACAAAACAGGAGGGTTTATGAACGTGTGCAGTGTTAAACGTTGGCATTAATTGCCATCTAGTGGTTAATACTGGCATTGCAGTAAAACAATAAATATCAAGGTTTCATACTCCTATATTTGGATTCTGGGTGAATAATATGCATCATTACCAACAGATCTTAAATCAGTCATGATCTACATTACTGTCACTGGACATCCACCGTCTCAGTCTCAGTATCTTCCATCATATTGTACTCAAAGTAGGTTCACCATTGTAAAGTGAATGCAGACTTTCAGTTTTTTAATCCCAATATTAATTATTAATTATTAGGCCTAATTCCCTCTTTTTCAATAAAAAGTATTTGATAAAGAAAACAAAATATGATTGGCTATAGGCTACCTAGAGGGATGTAAAGTTTGTTTTATAGCAGGTTTATAGCCACAGTGTAATCTGCATTGCTAAGAACTTGCATATTTGTTCATTAGACATAACTTTTTACTGTTACCCTTTATTGATTGAGTTATTGACAGAATTATTGACAGAATTATTTAAGACTAATACCACACCACCACATTTGAAGGGGACGATTATCTTACTATTTTACATCGTTCGTTTGTCAATGTTGCGTTCGTTTCTTCGAGTGGGGGTGGAAAAAGCAGTTTATTGTGACAATACTTTCGTTAAAACATGCAGTAAAGTGACATATTTAGATACATCCGAGTGTAATTGATTCAGATCACGGAAAGAAAGTAACGACCGCAAAGTGATTGTTTTTGGTCAAGGTTTGGTGCAAAATAATTTCCAAAGAAAATCCAAAGAATGGCGAGTTCATAGTGTTACCGGATGCACCTGAAGGCACCAGCGGAGGGAGGAGGAGGAGTTTGGCTAACCGTTAGCTGCTGCATGAACATTGTGAGCACACCCTGCCAACGAGCCAGTGTTAGCTAACGGCCACAAACATGTCGGGGAAGAGTTTTCGAGTTAGCGACGGGGACTGGATTTGTCCTGATAAGAAGTGAGTGCTGCTCTCATTTAGAATATATATTTCACGTACTAGCTGGTTAAATGTAGCAGCATCTTTTTGCTTTCATTTCTGGTCGTGCTAACATGCAAACGGTGGTTAGCTTAGGCCTTCTAGCATTTCACGCTGACTAGCTGAGTAAAAGAGCTTACATTTACCTTATTTTTTTAATTAATTGAGAGCCTTGTATGCAAAATAAACACGGGGAATAAATAAAACATTTAGGGTCGGGGAAATGTTTTGGATTTACGTGACAGGGAGTCTCCACAATAGTTATCAGTGTGCACAACAGACTCGTAAGATAGCAAGCTAGCTATCGTTAGCTTCTGTGGGGTTGGGTGAGAGTCCCCACTCACTATTGTGGGCGGTGTTTACAATGTTGTAGATGCCAAGTTGTCATGAGTTTAGAGTCTAACTTAGGTAGAGCAGTGACATGTTGCACAGGAACTGCATGAAAAATGTCTTCCGTGAACGACAAGCCAGCTGCAGTCGTCAGTGCACAGGCCTTTTACACAGACTGTCTGACAGACTAACTTACAAGCTAACGCTGTGGCACATGCACCATGAATAAACATACACCACTCATCTTGTAGCACACTCTGTCTGAATGATGAAGTAACAAGCTCACGTCCTATCTGTATATATAATGTATTTATTGTTTATGCTTTTGCAGGTGTGGAAACGTGAACTTTGCTAGAAGAACAAGTTGTAACAGATGTGGTAGGGGTGAGTCCTTTATTCTAATAATTCTATTTTGTTGACGCTTATTACAAAGCGTCAAAAAGAAGCTGTATTAAATACCGTTGTTTTGCTTCCACAGAGAAAACCACAGAGGCGAAGATGATGAAAGCCGGAGGAACAGAGATTGGGAAAACTCTGGCTGAGAAGAGCAGAGGCCTCTTCAGTGCAAATGATTGGCAATGCAAAACGTACTTGTTTATTGTAAATTATAAAGAACTACCAAGATGTTTGGTTAAACAGACACCGGCGCAAATAGACAAAGATTTTCCTAATGAGTAAAATACATGAGAAAACATGCATTTAGCAAGTCAAACATTGTTTTTTTGTCATTTTGAAATGTGTTGAGATATTACAGATTTATATTGTCCTCTCCTCCTGTCCTCATACAGATGCGGCAATGTCAATTGGGCTAGGAGGTCAGAGTGCAACATGTGTAACACCCCGAAATATGCCAAGCTTGAAGAGAGAACGGGTAACCCAACAAATATATAGTTTGCCAGTTTTTTGGTGCGCCTTTTGAAAGACGGGTGTTGATTGCCATTTGTATTTCCTCTTTGCCTTTCAGGTTATGGTGGAGGTTTCAATGAAAGGGAGAATGTGGAATACATTGAACGGGAGGAATCCGATGGGGAATATGATGAAGTGAGTTCTACCTGACCATTTACTGTTTTGATAATTGAAACAATGCAGCTGAAAGTAGCATGCAAGCATACAAATGTTTAGCAGGTAGAACTTGTGTCCTGAAATTAAAATGTCTTGATCAAAGGTCATTTTCACTGATACGGTTGTTTCTCTTTTTAATGTCCAAGTTTGGTCGGAAAAAGAAAAAGTTTCGTGGAAGGTCCGGCAGCACGCCGCCCTCAAAAGAAGGTGAAAAGGAAGAAGTAGCTAAAGGTCCAGATGACGAGGAAGATGACGAGGATGAAGAAGATGGTGACCTTTCCAAATACAAATTGGATGTAAGTTCTGTGGCTGGAGCTGGAAATTCATAAATACAAGTACTATAATATTTGCCAACAACAATGAAATATTATACACTTCCTCTGTAGGATGATGAAGATGAGGATGAAGAGGAGGGAGAAGGAGGAGGAGGAGGAGATGCCAAGGGAGACTTGTCAAAGTACGACCTGGATGCCAGTGATGAGGAGGACAAGCCAGCTAAGAAAAAGGGCAGCCGCTCGGGTTCGTCCCATTCATCTTCGGCCTCCTCCAGCTCCAGTTCACGGTCGAGGTCCAGGTAAAGGGTACAGGTCAAGGGTAACTCCAGGCAAAATGTCAGTATCAGCTCAATCTTCCTTCTGATTTACTGATCAACATAAATTACATGTTGTATTCTGCTAATTTGTTGTTGTTGTTTTTTTCCTCAACCCCTCCCCGTCTGTGACTGAATACTTTTTCTGTATATTGTTTTGAAACGCCAATGACTTGCACTTGTTTACATGTTTTAATTGTCTTTCTATTTAATGGGTTATTTCTCCAAACCCGTTTATGCTCATTTAGTCAGAATATTTGCTCATCCATTTTGCTATACAGTAAGGCAAGAACAGCTTTACTTAAATACTCAACATTTATATGCAGTTAAATCTGTCTTTGTATTGCCGTGTGAACCATCAACCGGTTTTTCTTGTTCAGGAAATATTGGAAAGGTTCTGTATTTTGTCTTTCAGGTCCCGCTCTAGAAGCTCATCCAGTTCCAGGTCTGGATCTCGCTCGAGGTCCCACTCCAGGTGAATGAGGTGACATGCACTCTCTCCCTTAGAGAGTGTATGTATGGGGCTGAAAGCTCCAGAACGGTCCTGTTCCCTAGCTTAAGTTTGAACAAAGACTGGATCCGGCTTACAGTCCTCTTTCTCACTCTGCAGATAGTCATGTTGGTCTGAAATCATTCGGAAAAATACTTAAAATGTCCTGAAGGTTTTCAATCATTTTGATGTACGGTTCTTTCAAGTTTCGATTAGGCCCGAGAGCTTAAAAAGTACGCGGAATGCGAACTACCTGAACTAAATTTGAATGTTACCGAGGCTCAAAAGTCTGAATAGGCATCTGGGGTCTTCATCAAGCATCTCACAGTGGTGCTGGCTTTCATTATGTCCAGAGGAAGCTAAACATTCTCTTCAGAGTCTTGGTTAAAATGTTCTCAGCACCACTAACCTATAGTTAAGTTCTCTTAATCAGAGAAGCTTGATAAATACCCACACTGTTGAGACTCTAATCTTGACCTTACTGACCTCGGTGCTTGGTTTTCCTCCAAAAGATCCAGCTCCAGGTCTGGAAAGGCCTCCTCTCCCCAGAAGAAGTCCCGCTCACCTTCCTCCTCACCTGAGAGGGGACAGAAGCGCAGTCGCTCCAGGTCCTCATCTGGAGAGAAAAAGCGGAGGCGTTCTAGATCACATTCGTCCGAAAGGTTTGGGTTTCTGTGGAATACCACAATGGCACTGTCTAATATTAGCCATCTGTCGCCTCGCTTAAGGGAGTTCAGATTTACAGAAATATGTTCACATTTTGCCTCGTTATATTGTTTTGACTGTGTACTTGTCTTAACTCTGCATAAGTGAGAGTTAATTGCTAAACTTGCTGACCTTGTTCTTCTTCCCATGGTGTTTGTGTGATTTCAGGCGCCGCGGCCAGTCCTCCGGATCATCCGATTCTGGCTCCAGTTCAAAAAAGAAATAATTTAATTACAGCCTTTTAAAACAAGTAAAGGAACCTTAGTAGAAAAGTGCATGTTGTGTTTCAAGGATACAACTACATAATTTCCATATGCTGTCCATTTTCCTAGAAAAGTCTAATTTCCCTAAAAAGCGACAGCAGCAACATGGCGTCTCTCTGCCGTTACCCATCATTACAAGCTCCCTTTTCAAAACCACATACATCCTGTGACTGTGTGTGTAACTGCGGGTGTCCAATAGACATAAATGTTTGGTTCCATAGAAAATCAGATATACTGTGAAGAGGCTGTGTGCCGTTTTAAACCCATATCTTCGTGGCAGTACATTTTATTCAACTCATCTGTGGGGAAATTGAAGTAAATATTTTTTGATTACTTTTATTTGACCACTTCATTTTTTTAATGAATGCTTTCTTTTTTTTAAAATCAAGGATGAAGTACTTAAGCACCAATTTACAATAATAGACGTAGCAATGAATTTTGGCCCCGTTGTATTTTCTTCATAAATATATATTTTGCTTTTTGTTTTCAAGGTAAGTATTTTACTTTATGATATTGCTTGTTTTAACTAAATGGCAGTCAATTCAACATTCTTTGGTTTAGGTGTTTACTGTTCTTTTCTTTACACCTTTGTCACCTGTTTTAACACTCAATTATTCCTCTTAATTTGTCTCTTGGGAAACTATTACATTCAAAAATAATATTTGTGCTCCAGATTAGTACACCCAGAATAACCAACACCGTACAGTATATCCAGATTCATGGTAGTGTGGCAATACTACTTTATTGGTGAAACAACTCAAATGTACACTTGTAAATAAACTCCTGTTGAAATGGTTTCTTGCTACTCCCTTGTACGTTTTATTTTTCCACAGTAAGGCTGGTAAGTAGACCTGGTATGTCGAGCACTGTTTTAACCCTCCTGTCGTGTTCGTTTCTTCCCCCCTTACTTTAGTGGTCCCGGTCACATTTGACCGGTCTTTTTTAACTGCTCTTACACATTAACACAAAAACCATTAATCATCACCAAGTTTTATTTAACACCTTTTTAAGCTGTAAACAATGTCTCAGACTAGTGGTTTATATGAATAACTGCTGTGAATAGACGCTGAAACTGTATCTCTAAATTAAATGAAACTGTTGTAAGGACATTGTTGACCGGAATATAGGCCTCCTGGACTCCGCATCCCACAGACTTTTTCTAGCCTCATTGTTTGACCGATATACTCCTGCTAGAATCGACAGAGCCATGTAGGCTTGGAGGTCTGGTCCAATGCTCTCCACGTGTCCACAAACACACGCCTCCCCTCCAGGTTTGTCATGTCCAGTATAATACCCTCAATGGACTCTGGTAAAAAGAGTTGGAAGCTGGACTTGATGTCATCCACATGAGATGTTGCATATCGTGTTGGCCCTGGCGTCATCCTTATTATGTTTTCATCTCTCTGCCTCCTCTGTCCTGGGACGATGAATACCAGAGCAAGTTGCCACCCTTGGACTGGAATGTCACCTCAGGTGCCACTTCCTTGCCATCTGTGTTGACTGGTAGTCATGATGGTAATGGATCGAAATCAGGATCAATGTCTTAAATTTTGAGACATCTTCCTCTATCTCTGGTTCAATCGGTTCAGAAATTAGATCCAGAGCCTCTGACAGAAAATGACCTCATCAGTCGCCTACTCATTGTGTTCACAGAGTAAAATGAGAGCAAGGCACAAATAAATGTTTATATGAAACATTGTTTAGTCTGAAAGGTGTGGTTCACGTGGGGGAGTGGGCACATAAGCGTGGGATAGAGATCGGTTCCCATAGCAAACACCTGATTTTTTTAGTTAGAAGTTTGAGTAGTTGAATATAGAATGGGCTCCACACTTTAGTGTTGTCGTTCTCACATCGGTCAACAGGTGGCACTTCTTACTCGTATTATACCGAGTTTATGAGAGGGACCTCGGGATCAACACATCGATGTCCTTAATATAGTGGGTAATTGCTCCAGGCCGAAAGTCGCATAAGTCAATTGCAGGCTATTATCTTCGACACCTGTTACCTTCAGGGGCTGATACAACATGCCGCGGACTGCATTCAAACTGGGTAAAATCGTTTTTACTGCAACATCTTGGACAGATGTTGGCGGCAGCCTGTTGCAAGATGCTGATGGTGATACTGTGCTGAGAAAGGAACCCGACCTACACGTGACTGTGGAGCCTACTGTTAGTTAATAGATTAGGTTGTAAAGGAGGTCTCTAATATGGGTTTTTTTTTCGTGATAGGAGTCTAATCTAAACTCATTAACAGTCTTATATATTGCTGTGATAAATGATGCAGACTAGGCCTACCATAATTGCCTTATATGTGAATTTCCTCATCACCAACCAGAGGTAGCGTATAGCTTAATCCCACATTTAATACTGCCAGTAAACCCCATCTGTTTTCAGATGCTCAATGACAATGTTTCAGTGATTTATCTGCTTAAGAGGCGAAGAGCCGGTTTGTTTATTCCCCTATCTCATGAGACAAATCTGCCTGTCTGTGCTCACTTCACTAAAATGTGATGATAATCTCTAGGAAATCGACTCGTGCGGGTCTGAAGCAGGTGCGTCTGCGATAGTGTTACACTTAAGTGCCGTACGTAGTCTCTACTTCTAAATAGACATTTAATGATCTCAGATCAAAATATCGCAGATGCCCGACAAGGTTTCTGAAAGTCAGGTTTATAATTCCAAAGTGTGTTCAGAAGCTTGTTTGCTTCCTCTGGGTGCGTCACAGTCCCGCCTCCAGTGCGTAAAAGACCCGACGCGCTTTTTACGCACTGCATTCAGTTGAAGCAATTTGATGAGGATGCCGGACACACGCACACGGTTTATCAGCTGCACGTAGACTTGTACTTTTTGAAATGTTGAATAAGGACGGCTGTGATTCTTTGGAGGGCTTGCAAAGCACAATTGGCGAGATGTTGGATTTTAACGTCTCCCAGTCATTGCGCGAAGGCAATGCCACCAATAATTCCAGTTGTGGATCCGTATCAGTTGGTTTCCCCATAACCATGATGATCACCGGCATGGTGGGCAACTCATTAGCTCTCATGCTGGTGTATATCTCGTACAAAAAGAAGGAAAATAAAAGGAAACGGTCTTTCTTGCTCTGCATTGGATCGCTGGCATTAACTGACCTTTTTGGACAGCTTTTGACAAGTCCAATAGTTATATCAGTTTACCAAGCTGGTCTGAAATGGGATCTTATCGACTCATCGGGCAGATTGTGCGCTTTTTTCGGTGTGTGCATGACAACTTTTGGCCTGTGTTCTCTCTTTTTGTCTAGCGCCATGGCAATTGAAAGGGCTTTGGCGATAACAAACCCCCACTGGTATTCCAATCACATGAAGACAAGTGTGACAAAGCAGACTTTGGCTGTCATATGGTGTCTTGTTTTACTCTTTGCGCTGCTGCCCACTGCAGGGGTCGGTGAATACACACACCAGTGGCCGGGCACCTGGTGCTTTATCAGCACGGGGGACAGGAGCAATATGTTTTTCGCCATCACTTTCGCTGTTCTTGGGATTTTCTCACTGCTTGTTACACTTCTCTGCAATATAGTGACGATCCGTGGCTTAATTATCCGGTGTAAAACAAAGTCTGGCACGTCTCAGTCTTCAAAGCAGTGGGAACGGCTGACCACGGAGACCGTCATTCAACTGTTGGGGGTTATGTGCGTCCTGCTGATATGCTGGTCTCCTCTGCTGGTATGTGTCTATGGGCGATTGCACCCTATACCTTTCTTACAATCAATAGTCCCATATAGCTGAATGAAACTGATGTTATACTACTAAATACTTTCTTTGTGTATCTTCTAATAATGCCTACATACTTTCTCTTAAAGTGGCATTCACTGACAGCTGTGTACTAACATGATAAATTGCCCTGTGTCATAATTCACAGTTTAATTGGGTTTTATTGTCAGCTGCCTGTCACAAGCAGCTGTGGATGTCTGGAGATGCTTCATTTCCCTTTGGCAGGATTGCAAGAGTAGACACTGCACACACCACACTTTTCTGTTTCCCTCAATCACTCATTCATTCAGTCACCCTCTGTTACTCTAATTCTCTTCTCTCTGCCCCACAAACACAAACCAGTCAGATAAATGATGTCATGTATGATTCTTTTGCCATGTAGCCATTTTCCATTAAGGAGCAATCCATTTAGCCGAGTCCTGTTTGGGGGGTCTGCTCAGTGTGCTATGAGGTCATATCAAACACATATTTAATAGTCCCACCAAGGACATTAATAGAAACCACAGCACTGTGTTAGCAGTGATGGCAGAGCGAGTTCCTAGAAAGTGAACATTATTCTGTTTATTTATATAATTTGTTTGGTACAGTATCTACTCAAAATTATCTTGAGAATAGTGACATTGAATATAAAAACTATTATCTCCCAGCCAACAAGTGTGCTGAGAGGCTTTCTCAATGGTACATTTTCACTGAAGAACAGAATTTGTCTTCATTGTCGTATTGGTTCATACAACTTGTGCCTGCCTCTCTCCTCAGGTGCTCATGCTGAGGATGATCTCCAACCAGGTATCCTCACACGACTGCAAATCAATCGCTAGCCGGAACGTCCAGTTAGATTGCAACTTTTTTCTGACAGCGATCCGCATGGCCTCCCTCAACCAGATTCTTGACCCGTGGGTTTATCTGCTGCTCAGGGAGATCCTCTTCCGCAAGTTTTGCATCGTGGCTAATGCAGTGTCCAACTGCTCCATCGACGAACGGAAGGAGACCCAGTCGGCCTTGGATGCCCTAAACAAGCAAAAGCAAGACAGCATCAAACCTTCATAAACCACAATGTAGCTAAGTCAACCTTTGACAGGGATTGCTATCTTGTGACATTGAAGTAGGGACACATTGGATGGAGGTGAAAATGCATATTGTCTTGGATGTGTCGTGAAAAACATGGGGACAACCTTTATCTCCATGTCGTCCACAGAAGGATATTGTGCAATGGGAGACAAGGTTATAGTCTTAATAGGAAGCAGCCAAGTCTGGTCTGGGCGCATTTGTTTTGCTTAAAACAAATTCCATTTAAAGTCACCTAACCAGCATAAGGATGCATGACCGTGTCACCTCTTGCATTTGGCTGCAGCGTGGGGGCAAGGAATCTCCTCATTGCTAGTTTTCAGTTTTGATAACATCTTCCAGACCCAAAAACTGAACATGGGTGACTCTAAATTGACTTAAATGGAAGTGATGCATCTCATGCTCATTTTAGTTTGTGAACTGAGTCATTGCTTTTAACAACTTGCAGCCATAAACTAGTTAAAGGAGAAGTTGTGTTTTTTTTGTGACTGTCTGTAAATTAAGAAATAAACTGTAAATGTGCTTATATTAAGTGGTAAATAGCATTGCCATATCTTACATGAAATGTAACCATGGTGGCCATTCAAAAGAAAAATGCTAATCCTAAACTGGAGCCAGTTGTTGATAAGAAGATTATTTATTAGTGTCTGTAGTAATAAGAAGTGAGTCGTTTCTGAATGCTGACAAAGCTACCTGCTTGGTACCAACTGTTGTACATTTTATAATATACTGTACGTGGTGTTCCTCGGCGAGCATGCCAGGACTATAAAATGTGAAGCTTTTAATTTGTCTGCGCTCTCCCTCCTGAATATGAGTGCACTGGTATATTTTTGTGCAAATGTTTCTCAGCAATTTATAGCTTCAATTTCACTCTTATGAAGAATTGTGTGAGGGAAATGATTTGGTGTGTTTAACATTATGAGATTATGGATAACAGAGTGACCTGATACTTACAAGGCTGTCAAAGTGTCATTGACAAATCCCTGCGCATTCCATCGGATTCATAGTATTCTTGTTCTGTTACAATACACAGTGTGTAATGACAAGTGTATCTAATTTCACCAGCCAAATGTTTATGGAGAGAAACAAACATCATTTGTGTAGTCTTTTGTCCAGTTACATCAACATAAGTAGAGAGAGCGGAGGTCTTTGGATACGAGGCTGACGAGAAGAAAAATAATGGAATGAAGGAAGCCATGTCCAAACTGTACAAATCACAATTTAAAAAAGGTTTAAAAAAAAGCTTTTTTTGGCATGCCTGAAACTGCTTGTTCAACAGCTCAACCCAATATATGCGGCTTCACAAGCTATCATCAGTATGTAGGCCTACAGTGTTAGGTATTCACATTAGTACACAGGGGCTGTATCCGCATGTTTAAACATCTTTTTTAGCTACTGCACGAATTCATGCTTTTAATTCTGGGGTGATTGACTCGGACATCTTGATTGTGTCATTTCGTATTTAAATGTTTGTTTCTTATCAGCCACATTGTGTCTTTGTAGCCTTGATGCTACCTCTAAATATAAGTCAAAGTTCATTTCTTTTGAATGGGTACAGTGCAATTCACCAGAGGTCTCAGATTTGAAATCAAGGTACTTTTCAATGAGGTGATTTGGTTTTAGTGCCAGATGACATAATGTCATTTACCAAGAGTGCACTAGGAAATCCATTTATTTTACAGTGATGTATGTATAATCTTTTATTTTCAGCTACGTTGTCATGTATAGCACTGTAAATGTATTTGAAGAGATCCAGTATCTCACTCAAAGACATATCAAGGATGGACACATTTGCTGTCATGGTAAACCTTTGTGTTATGGGACACTTATTCACTTTTTCACACCAACATCACTGCCTTCTCAGCACATCAACCAACAAGATTAGACTTATGTACACTCTGCTTTGCCCGGGCCTGCCTTTGCCTCTCAAATGTGAGAATACATACAAGCTCAGTGATAAAGCTCAGTGATAATGACCCTAAAGGAAACTGTTAGCTGCAAAAGCCATGCGTTAAAAAAACAAGTTATGTTGTTGTAGAGTTTATCTTGTATCGCTTCAGAAGCTGGTCTGTATTAGAAGACCCGCTCAAAAGATTAACTTTGGTTTCGAGCAAAAACAAAAATATCGAAGGAAACAAAGAAATTGTTCAGGCATGTGTTGCACACAAATCAATCATTATTATAAAACTCATTACCAGCTATGAATGTGCAGAAAACACCAGTGTATGCCTCTACAAGTGATGGATTTCCAGTGTTATCACACTAATATGATGACATTTTCATAAATGCTCCACTCATTGGGCTTGTGGCTCTTGTTCATCCTGCACATGTTCATCCTGTGCAGCAGTTAATATGCACTTCAACAGAAACATCTGGGGTTTCGTCCATGCATTGAACAATGATTACATTTGTTCTCAAGCTGCATTGGGATATGGAGGATACAGAGGTTTACAATTGACTCAATCACCTTCCATATGAATCTGCGTCATGTAATAATCTCAGTTCCCTGTCCAGGAGACTCTGACGCTTCCTGTTCAGAATAATCAGAATAATTACGCAAAGGAATATCCCCATGAAGCTAATTGGCCTATATTTGGTTTGGAATTTTCCAGTGTGTTACATCCCACCCAACTGCCACTGGGGAGAGGAAAATGGCAGAATAACAATTTATTCTTTGTAAAGAGAAAATATGATACATTTCCACTCTCTTTAAGGCACGGTGTTTACGAGGAGTGCTTTTTGTGGTTCTGCCCTAGAGTTTCAATATTAATGTTCATTAGAACCAGGGGAGACACACATGACATCATAAATTCTGCAAACTCCAGTTTATTGATCCAAACAGTGTAATCTTCATATAGACGATGATAGAATGATAGCTTCATTAAGAGGTCAGTTAGAATTGAATTTGCCCTCTAGTCCAAACATATTGCATATTGATCTCCAGCTTGATTGTACGGACTGTGAAGGTTTGCTCACATGCTTGAATCCTGTCCATTTGTATAAGGAACAGGCTATTTCAGCAGGCAATTACACAAGAGAGTCCTGCATTTACAATTACTGTGTACAAGTACATAATGATGTTGAAAAATACTTTATGAGGTCCAGAGAATCTGGTGTTGCCAGCTGGCACCATCTCTCTCACTTAAGTCACTAATGCATGGAAGTGATTTACTGATTGCCTCATGAGCTGAGGAGTCACTTGATGTCTTGAGATTTTAAGACAATAAGAGATTGTTTACAATAAAAAAACGTTTGATCGTTTGATATTTTTGCATTTTTGCTCATGCTCATATTTTTCTACACCCTGTAAAACAATGTTGTAGTATTCAGATGATTACCTTATGGCCCTGTGGAGAAAAATATTGTGCCATAATAATAATTTTGACCATCTCTATAGGTTAACTCTGTGGTATCAGGAATTCAAAGACTGGCCCAGCTACTGTAGTAAACTGATAAGGTACATGATGGTTCTTTGCTGCAATTTGGAGCTGCCATCGAGCCAAGTCGCCTTGCAGGGCTTGTAGAGCAGTCTCTCAAGTCTATTTAAAGAGTGCATGATGCGTAGCACAAGTGTACACATAACAATGGAAACAGGTTTGGCTCACCAGTCATGGCTCCACTCATGAATGTTAATACATACCGGATGCCTATTATATGTCCATCTTCTTATCTTTTGTTCACAATACGCCGCTGCTTTTGAATGTTTAACATTAACTCTTTAAAGTGAAATGTCTCCAAACTCGCTAGCTACATGCTTTCTACTGTTATGCGCTGTACATTTTGCAACCTTTTTGTTCCTTCAGATATCTTTGACATCTGTCACAGATGGGCTTACATAACATGTTGCTAAGATGAAAAGAGAATTATCTACCTAACTATCAAAGTGTCCTTTTGCTATTTTATGTCTTTGTCCTCTACTTGACTTGTCTCAGTTCAACATACACCTTTGATTCATTTTGCAGCAGTGTGCTTGGCTAATGTGGTGGTGTAAAGTTATAATTCCATTAAAATATTTTACAGTGTTTTACAAGTAGTGTGCCTCCCGGTTGAACTGTGGTTAGGCCGAGCCATATATGTATAAAATATATAAAAAAATAAAATAAAATAAAAAAGAGGAATGGATGCGTTCTGGTGCATTGTCTAAACTCAAACCATGAAAACACTTATGTCCGCTGGTTGGCTTTGTTGGCTTTAATACTCTGCTTGACACTGCTTGTCCTTTGAGAATGATGATTCAACTGAGAATGATGTGAATGTATTTTCATTGGTGGATGTTTCAGACACTGTGAATCTTGTTGCTGCTGTGCATTTCAAAGCATGTAGAGGCTTCTATTGTTTGTTGGACCTATAGTGCAATGTGTTTCACATGAGTTAATAAATGGAACAATCTGGTACGAAACACTGCATGAATTAATTTCATTGAGAGGTGTGATGCATGAGACTAAGGTTTCTGGATGTTTCTGTTTAATAGTGCAATTTATGTATGTATGAATATATATTGCATTTAATATGCTACATATCATATACAAGACAAACAATATTCACTGTGCTTTATAGCTCATTTTATTTTAAACTTAAATGGCTTTGCACTGTTAAAACAAACGTATAACAATGTCTACTTCAGATAAGAATAGAATAGAATAGAATAGAATAGAATAGAAATATACTTTATTTATCCCCAAGGGGAAATTTGTCTGTGGCAGCAGCAAACAGGGTTATACAATAAAATAAAATAGTGAGTATGGAAAATGCACAATATATACAATATAATAAAATAACAGAGCAGGACCAATTAAATTTAAGAAAATAAAGTAATAAAAATGCACAGTATATACACTAAATAGAATCGTATAAATTAACTAAGTAGGAAAAATAAACAACAGTAGTGCACAAGATCACCAGCAGCAGCAACAACAGTGTAGCATTGTTATAGTCTTTGTGTTTGATTTGGCCAGAGGTGATTTATTATAGAGTCTAATAGCAGAGGGCAGGAATGTTTTCCTGTATCGGTCCTTGTGACAGCAGAGCTGGATCAGGTGATGGAGAGGGTGGTCCGGGTTATCCAATATGGACAATAGTTTATTCAGTGTCCTCCTCTCCACCACCTCTTCCAGATAGTCTTGTTTGCAGCCATTGATGGAGCCGGCCTTCTTAATCAGTTTATTAAGTCTGTTGGTGTCTCCGGCTCCAATGCTGCTCCCCCAGCAGACTACGGCGAAGTACAGTGCACTGGCCACAACAGACTGGTAGAACATCTCCAACTGCACACACGTTGAAGGATCGAAGTTTCCTCAAGAAAAAGAGTCGACTCATCCCCTTCTTGTACACAGCGTTGATGTTGGTCTTCCAGTTCAGTCTGCCGTCGATGGAGACACCCAGGTACTTTTACTCCTCCACCATGTCCACGTCCTCTCTAAACACTTATGTGTTAATACAACAGTATATTGTTAAAGATGGAGGCACAATGGAGCACCAGCATTTATAGTTTTGCTGAAGAGCAATAACAAAAATGTAAATGATTGTATCATACTTCAGCTCAAAACAATACAATATACAGTAACTATTCAAACTTTTAGAGATTGAAGTATTGAACATTTACCAAATATCAGGTTGCATTGAACTTTTTTCATTTTCACATTTATTTAGATTTGATAATTATCACAAAATACTTCAGGTTTCACTTCATGTTTTATTTTGTAATTTATTTATTTTGTAATCCTATGTTCCTGTGTTTATGGCATTCCCTCCTTTCTTGTATGCATCACCTGTGTTTTGTTAGTCTCGTCCGCTTTGCTCTGTTCACATTGTTTCTAACACCAGTGCGGCTTTCAGCCTGCCCTCATGTCTGTCCCTCATAGTCCTGTCTTTTCTCTGTTGGCTCGTCTTTCAGTCCTCCCTTGGTGCATGGAGTTTTGTTTTTGTATCCTGTCTATTGTTTCTAACTTTTTTTGGAGCTGTCTGATTTGTAAGTTCATTCTACATTCATTATTTAACGGCACAAATCTGCCTGCCTTTTCTGCATTTGGGTCCTTCCCTTGCTGCCGGCATTCCAGACTGCGAGACAAGGCTCTGATGAAAGTCTAGAAATAAAACCTTTCAACATTAAATACTTGCATTGGAGGAAGTGTGTAGAGCCTTCTTTATCTTGACATGTTGACCTTCCTACACCTCAGAATTTTGTTGTGAGTTTGGTGTGAGTTTTAAAGTGAATACTCAAATGCCAGGTAAAATTGTACCAATTTGTAAAGTATATGGCCATGTTCAGGTGCAGCAGCCTCCTTTTTAATGTCAAAACCACTAATTAGGATTTTAAAAGAAGAAGTTTTAACTGTATTTTACTTTCAGTTACCTTGACTCCCCAAGCTCTGCAGCAACTACAACTACAGTCAGGTAATCCTTTAGCAAGCCATGTGAAGCTCAAAGTGTTCAGATGTGTAACCTCCTTAGAAGCACACAGTAAACTGCGGTGACAATGAAGTGCTCATTTAATATACCCCTCATGAATAAAAGGTAAAAGGCCTTTCCATTGTATTATAGATGACATCTCACCAATTTAGATGCTCTAATTCAATTAGTCATGAATAATGTAAATCACCGGACTCAATCTCTGGGATCTACGCACCATGTAGTCATTTTACTGCTGAGTCAGGGCACTTGCCGGCATTTGAAAAATTCTGGTGGGCCCATTAAAGCTTTATCCTGCCATTATTTATTGCTGTTAAGCTCAATCGACTGAGGATGTATATATATATATATATATAATGAGGAAAGCACAGAGACAAGCACTTTTATGTCGTAACATATAGTGCTATGTTGGTGTTTTAATATGAATTATAGATATAAAACTCAGCATAGAGGGTGTGTAAAGGTTGTAGAAATAGGAAGAAAAGATCCATAAATTGCCTCTTTTTTTAGCTTGTGAAGGTGAAAACATGCTGGTGTGGTGCTACTATTATCTGTTTCTTTAATTGGTCTATTCTTGTTTTTTAGTGAAGTGTCTCTATAATAAGAAATGTGCAGGACCTGTACAAACATAACCATTTCCCTATTACCACCAAGTGTTTTAAAAGAAGCACTGTGTGATTTATTCAGTCTCACGTCTTTAAGCAGCAAAGGACTCACACAACAGAAACGTCTTAGCAGTAAAATCCTCACCAAGTTGGTCTTTGATTTAAAGGAAATATATTTAAAAATGTTTCTATAGTCTGGACTGTGGCCTTGAAGGATGTCAGTAGACCACTGCTGCTTTTATTTATTTAACGCTTTCTCCTTCCATAGACCATTATGCTAAGAGAGATAAATGTCTGTTCACTCTAAATGACATAATTGCTCCTCTAGGGCCTCTCTCGGAAGAGCGGCGGCATGACTTTAACTGAATTAATCAGGTTGGTGATGGATGCCTCTACTTTACCTCGCTTATGCTTTTAATGTATACTTTGAATGTATGGACCAGGTCTTTGTTGACAGAGTGTGGATTGTGGGAATAAGGCAAGCTAATGCTGCTGGGCATTGGATGAAGTATTCTGAGGTCAGATAAGCAACCAGGGTGAGCCACAAGGTCACCTGCCGGCTGCAGAGAGGATCCAGCAGCCCCTGAACACAATTACTCTGCTGCTGTGGAAAGGATTGGGCTGCATGTCCTCAGGCAATTACCAATTATGGCCCCAAATATAGCGGTTGGAAAGGTATGTGAGGTTGGCGTATGCTCTCAATGAATGACAATGAGGATGAAATATGTAATGCTTGTTTACTCAATCACCCGTGAGTGGAGGCTTGATTTCCAGTGGGACCGAACACATATGCAAAAATGGCAAAATATGAAGGGTCAACAGATGCTGTTGATCATATAAGCAAATTTAAATAACCTCCCTCATAATTTGATACTGTATATAGACTGTTTCATTGAAAGTCCGTTTTACTCTCAATCTCACATCTGATTTATGTGTTTTATTAGCATGGGGAGAATTGTGGTCAGTCTTTGCGAGACCCCTATCAGTTTCTACCCCGCAGTCTGTCACTGTTGCTCTCTGCTGTTTAAACTTAAACTAATGAAGACATAAATCCATCCAACGCCTGCATGGCACTTCCAGTCCGGCAAAAACACTCACCTATGGTCAACATTTCTCTCATTTTTGGAGTCAAGCATGTATCCTAAAAAACATGTCATGTCACGATATCACCCTGTTAATGTAGCTTCAGAGATAGGCCTACTGAGGGGTAATGTAGTACTCTGTACAATGAATATGCCAAATATTAGTGACACTTTCACAAAGTAGACTGATGCAGAGAATACTTTTAGCAACCATTAGAAAGCTTAAAGATCTTCTTTAATATCTTGGCAAGCCAATAGCATTTGTGTACCTTTTTGTATTTGTCCACATGGTTGCAATACAAACCCTGTACTAAGAAGATGAGCACAAAAAAAGGTAATTATAGCTTCAATAAAGTAAAGTGTCAATAATGCAAAAGAAAATGCATGTAGGCTGTTATTGCAGTTTATTTTGAGTGGAAGGTCATTAAAATGGAAATGACATGTTTTTGATCCGATGGATAAAAAAAGTTGCCAGTATTCAGGAGGGCAAATGGTAACCAGGTTTACAGTACCTCTGTGGACAGTCGTGTGTGTGTGTGTGTGTGTGTGTGTGTGTGTGTGTGTGTGTGTGTGTTCAGTGTCCTTGAGGGCAAGGATATGCTAAAAAGGACCTGTTTGTCTTTTTTATTATCAATAAAGCTTTTTATGACCTTGTGTCATTTAACATCAAGACAATATCAATGCAACACAAACCTGGAATTTAGACACGAGCCATATGGGATTAATTTCACCCTCTTAATGTTATTTGATGGAGTGGTATGTAATATAATTAGTAGAGTAAACAGTCTCACTCAGCTGCGCTCAGCACACACAACAGGTAGACACTGGATCCATGGCACTGCTACGCTGCTATGGTAACACTGTTACTTGTTGATGTTGGTTATTCCTGTCGAAGGGAAACTGTCCACGGTGTTGAATGTAATTCGAGAGTATTAAAATGTTTAATTAAATGTGGCATTTTTAATATAGCCCACTAATGAAAGTATTGCAATATTTATGTATTTACAGTTTTACGAACTGGCCGATTGTGGTGAAAAAATACTATATCACAGTTTTTCTCCATTGTATGGACACAACAAATTAAACTATGTACACATTCCTTTGTTTTAACTCAAAACGAAATTCCACA